AGAAATCCTGCTGTTGGCAGAGGCTTTGGGTTAGGTGAAGTGTTTGCAGGTGCTGTGTTTCAGCCTCCCTGTCAGAACAGGCTCTGTGCAGGCAGGAGCTGTTACCAGGCTCCACAAGGCACGTGCTCCTGCAGCCTCCAGTGAAAACTTGGGGCACGTAAATGGCTGGCATCTGTTCAGATCCTTACTGAGGAAATTCAGTGTTATTGGAGAGCACTGAGGGAGAAAATGGAGGTGTGGCTTCCAGAATCTTGGAGATTAAACTAACTCCTCTGCTCCCTGCATTTTCCACTCTCTGTGCCTGCTGTGGTGGCTTATTGAGCTGTTGGTGCAGGTGTGCTTTAAATTCATGGTGAAGGGATCTGAGTTAAGAAAACACCACTGGATTAAACCAACCCTGAAATAAAAAAAATAAAAAAAAAAAAAGGTAACATTAAACAATATCCGGTTGTCTGTGTGTAACTGTGCAGTTATGTTATATATAACTGTAATACAGGCTGTAACTCTGTAAGATGCCAGCTGATGTAAACAACCATGTATCCTTAGAGGATTTGTAGCAGAATTGTTGTGCATCTTTAGAAGGATTCAGTGCATAACCTGCTGTCATTACTGTGATCAGTAGTAGGCTCTCTCACAATGCAGATGGAAATGAAGCTTGTTCTGCACTTGAAAGATGGGTTGTGTTTTAAGGAAATGATTATGAAACTCAAACCAATTGCTTACTACTGGTCAAAATCTGACCAGGCAGCTCCTCCCTGTCCCTCCCTGCTGGGACAGTTCAGCTCCCCTCAGGTTGCCACCACCTCTCCTTGTTATGCTAGGGGAAAGACAGTGAGAAGTAATTTTGGTGTTACACTGATATTCTTGAATTTGAAGAAGATAATTTCCATGAAAGAAACAATGTTCAGAATATTTTCTGTGAAATTATTCTCTCTCTTGAAGATAAGGAAATGTGCTTATTGTCATCACTTTTGGTGGAGGAAGCCTTGAAGAACACCTTGAGAAACGCTCTCAGTAGTTTCCTAAAGAACATTAAAATTGATATGTAGTGGAAAAACTTAATATATGCACAAATTTGCATGTCTCACTTTTTAGCTCACTAAAAGATTCTAAATTCTATCATCAAAAGCAGAATTTTTGAGCAAAACCTTCAATATGTGAATATGTTTATATCCATGTGGATCTTTGTGGCCTTTGGACTGAGTGAGGGTGCTTCCAGTGCAAGACATTTCCTTGGGCTCAGGCTGTTTAGATCTCCTGTACAATGTAGCAGGAGAAAAGCTTATTTGGACAGTGATCTTTACGTTGTTGAGGTCTCATCTTCAGTGCCCTGCAAGAGACTTGGTTTGTCATGAGATCTTCTGCTGGCTGTAAAAGACAAGAATGTGGAAACTGTTCCTGTAACTTGAGTGCCTGTTGAGCAGGTGGCCTTGCAGAGACCCCCTGAAGTGATGAAGAGAGAAAAATGAGAAATAACACAGGATAAAAGCTCTTGAACTTCTCAGAATGCTAGCTGTAACTTCCAGCCCTGTGGTTGTTGTAGCCCTTCTCTCAGGCATTGCAAGGTGCATCAGTTGGCTCATCAGCAGTGTGTGAAATGGCTGGACATGGTCCAAAATTCTGCTAATCTGGTGTGTGTTCAGGGCTGGTGTAGGAAAGGAGCATTTTGCCTCATTGCTGAGGTCAGGAGAAACCTTGGGGGAAGGTCTTCTCTCTCCCACTCCCTCCCTGCCCCTCCCTTTTTGTTTTCTTTTTTGTGTTTTGGTTTAGATTCCTTTTGTTTGGTTGGTTTTTTTGTTTGTTTGTGGTTTTGTTGTTGTAGGGTTTTTGTTGTTGTTGTTAGTTTGTTGGGGGGTTTTGTTTGGTGTTTTTGGTAGACTAGTGCAGTGCATGCACTTCAAATGACCAGGGTTCCTTTTGAAAGGGGCATCTTGGTGTAATTGATACTACAGAATGATGAAAACACTATACATAAATAATTTTGGAATTGTCATCAGTTGTGGCTTGCTTAGGCACTGATTTTGGTCAGCTGGGAAATGGTCAGCATGGGGACACCTTCACTGCTCTGCTGCCCCACTTGGCTCATTTGCTGCCCAGAGCTTTCTCATTTGGGAGCACACCCTGATCTGGGTAAATTCTGGTGGTCTCTTCTAGACACAGGGAGGGCTCTGGCTCTGGCCATGCTGTGCTGGTGCTCCAGAATGTTTGTTTCTACTTCCCATTTTGTCAATAGCAACATATTTCTAAAATGCCTGACCTGTTAGTCCTGCCCTTATTGTTTCCAGGAGCACTGCCAGGTGTCTGAATAGGAATACCTGGGAGCACCAGATGTTTTGAATTCTGTTTCCTAAGAAAAGTTCTCTGCTTTCGTTTCTTTGGTGTAGTGTTTTGTGTAGCGTCTGGGGACATTGGTGGGTGACAGGTATATCTTTGGTAACTTCAGTCTTCTGACAAAAACTGACAGGAAATTCTCAGTGTCTTTGGGATCAGGAAAGGTGGAGGCTTCACTCATTACAGATCATGAAGCCCAGAGAGAAGAGCCTGGAAATTAGTCACAAACATAGGGCCATCCATTTCTGCTCCAGATTGAAAAAAAAATGGGGAGAAAATAGTAATCTGTACTTCTGTGTTTCACTGTGTGTCCAGGTGTACAGAATTATTCTCTGTGGACCCCTGAATGAGTAGGAGCAAACCCCAGAATCTTGCAGCCCTGAGCTTGTTGGTTTATTACTCCACTTTGAGCCAAATTTCTTCTTTTAAAAAGATGCTGCTTGTGCCTGTACAAGGCTGAGGGCTCAGATATGATACCCAGTAGGGCTTGCTGCTCTCAGCTCTAATAAATACAGGTGCTGGGGGCTCAGATATGATACCCAGTGTGGCTTGATGCTCTAATAAATGCAGGAGCTGGGGGCTCAGATATGATACCCAGTGTGGCCTGATGCTCTCAGCTCTAATAAATACAGGTGCTGGGGGCTCAGATATGATACCCAGTGTGGCTTGATGCTCTAATAATGCAGATGCTGGGGGCTCAGATATGATACCCAGTAGGGCTTGCTGCTCTCAGCTCTAATAAATGCAGGTGCTGGGGGCTCAGATGTGATACCCAGTGTGGCTTGATGCTCTCAGCTCTAATAAATGCAGGTGCTGGTAGCCAGCTAGGGAGAATGGCATTACCTGTGTGGAGCCCTGTTCCCTGCAGGGCAAGTGTGGCCACTTTTGGAGGTGCCTGGGCTGTGTTTTGCAGGGAGGGGAGCTCAGCAGGGCCAGGTCTGTGCCAGTCTCTGCAGTGGACGTGCTCTGCCTGGCAATGGGGAGGGAGGAGACAGCGGTGTGGACTGCACTGCAGCACACTGCAGCACTCCTGGAACAAAGATCTGCTGGGCAAACAGGGCTGCTGCTGCTGCTGCTGCTGTGTGCTGACCACAGCTGAGGGACAGGGCCCTGACACCTCAGCAGCACCATCAGTGTGTGTGGTGATACAGCTGCCAGTCCTTTCCCAGGGGCTTTGCAATTAACAGGACAAATGAAGGATTAGTAAGGCACTAATAATAAATCTTTTGGATTAGTGAGCTCACCTCTGACATGAGGTTAGATGAGAGGTGCTGACCACAGTCCTCCCTTGTCCCTGGCTCTTGAGCAGCCAGAGGGGGATGCTGAAGCTGCCCAGAAGGGAATGGAGCTCTTGCCTGCTGTCAGACCACAGCAGCCTCTTGGTGAGAAGGGGATGTCTCCAGCCCCTGGAGCTGAGCTGTCTTGTACCAGTGGTCTGCAATATTGTCCTTAGTGCAGCTCAGCAGAGATCCACATCTCTCCAATACCTTCCCCTGAGAGCTGTGCCTCAGTGTGGCATAGAATACTCCTACAGCCTTCCAGGGAGGGCTCTGTGTTCTTCTTGAAGAAGACTGACATGTTTAAAACCTCATCAGAGCATGTCTATTTTGGTGCACATACTCCTTTTGCTGTCACTGGGAGTGGTTCTGGGTTTATGAGTGTTCTGCACACCACACCATCTCTATGGATGCATGAAACTGAACAATATGGGGGCTGTCTCTCCCTTACAGTTTACTACCTATGCTCTTAGCATGATATCAAGATTCATTAAATGTTCCCTATGCACAAAACAGTCCTGCCCATCTTCACATGAGCTGCATGAAACTCAGAAGGACCTCTGCATTTGCAGCCCTTCCCTCTGCACTGACTGGTCCTATCCAGAGAATCATTGCCTCAGCTGATCTCTGTGGGATCAGGTTCAGCAATGATCTGTTAATCTGTCTGAACCTCCCTGCTCCACCATTCAAGCCTTGGTAGCTGTAGGATAGTGCTATGTTAAAATGCAATGAGGGACAAATCAGTAACACAGACTTCTGCAGGGACCAGAGGGCTCCAGAGTTTGAGTGGTGTTACAGGATTGTCAGTGCCCATACTCCAAATTATGGTGGTTCTGTTTCTGACACTTGCCTGAAGCTGTTTTCCAAGAAAGGGAGGGAATAAATGCCCTGGGAAGGAACAAGTGCCCTGTTAAAGGCTCCTTTTCCTAAGCACAGAAGGAAGCAGAGGAGCCTTTTTCTTCCAGATACCATTACTGCATGATTCCAGGATGCAGGCCAGGCTGAATTCAGGGCTCTTGTAAAGTAGGGCGGTGACTCTAAAATGGCAGATGTGATCTTACTGAAATGCTCAGTGAATGGGTATATTTTCTTAGAGTTTGTGTTTTGAAAGGCTTTGCATTACCCCTTATATTGTGTGCCTACAGCTGGACTCACAGGGAAAGGGATTTGTCTTCTGCCTGCATTTTTCATTTTTCTGTGTGTTTTCTGTAGGGAAGGTCTCTAGAATTGCAGTCAGAGGGTTGCTGCAGGAAGTTGAAGAGCTAGGATGAAGAGCAAATGTGTGTGCATTTCCAAGCAGAGCAAACCTCCTCTGTCACTTCCAGAATTGCTGTTTGTGACTTGAGCTTCCTTTCCATGGAAATGTCCTTACTGTGGCTTTCTCCAACCCAGATAACCAGTTCAGGATGTCCATACTGGAGCGACTGGAGCAGATGGAGAGGAGAATGGCTGAAATGACAGGCTCCCAGCAACACAAACAAGGAGTAGGAGGCGGGAGCAATGGGAATGGGAACAGTGGAACACAGGTGCAGGTATGAACCCTTCTGTGCCCAGACACAGCTTTATGCTTTCTTACCAGAGGTTTTTTTGTGAGGTGGGGTTTGGAAAGGGTAATAGTTTGTCCTAAGTGACAAGTCTGGTTTGTGGGTGTCTGACAGCAGCTGGTTTTTGGTCACATTTGTCACTGTCTCAGTACTTGCAGGAGCGGAAGGCTGCCTGTTCAGGGCAAGCTGCAGCTCCTCTCAGTAACAGTAGCTTCTTTGAGCTAGGTCTCATGAGCTCTTGGAGGTCTATTATTCACCCAAGATAGCTCAGCTACTTTTGGAGGCAGGATAAAATCAGCAGGATGGCTTCTGTTGCAGTGTTGGAAACGAAAAGGTTTAATAAAAGGCAAAATAACAAACAGAGAAAACCTCAGCTAGGTGCAAGAGGTTCTTGCTCCTGGTAAAACACTTCACAAAAGCCATTGGTTTCTTCGTTCTCTTCTTTTTCTAGGAAATTGCTTAGGTGGGACTTTTTGGCTTCTGTCTAATTAGCTATCCTTAAGTTTGAGGTGAAGTCCCCAATGTCCTATGAGGTGTCTTTTTCACCTAATTGAGGAGAGAAACTTCTGGGCATCTTTCCTTTCTGAGGGGACAAAGGATAGTTTTGTGAGTCTGTTAATAAGGGGGCACATTGCTGTTCCTCTCCGTGGTTAACTGGGATGTGTGTGGTGTTGCAGTGCGTTTCTGGGACTGGGACCCTGGGCAGCTGCTTTGAGAGCCGTGTGGTGGTGGTGTGTGAGAAGATGATGAGTCGTGCATGCTGGGCGAAGTCCAAACACTTGATCCACTCAAAGACTTTCCGAGGAATGACCCTGCTCCATCTGGCTGCTGCCCAGGGCTATGCTACTCTCATCCAGACCCTCATCAAGTGGCGGTAAGACCCAGCCTCGGACTCTGTCAGCACAGGCATGGCAGGAGCATTTATAAAACTTTGCTCAGTCCACGTTTCTGGTTGTCTTGTACAAAGAGCCAAGCCCCTGAACTCGTTCCCATGCCCTGATCTGATGGGACCTGTCTCTTGAGAGCTGCTGGATCTATCATGCTCTTCATGCCTGTGGTGGGGGCACTGTCTGTAGTAAATACACGTGTTGTGAGCATGTAGTAAGTACATGTGTTTGGCCTCTTCTCTGTGGTACAGTGCTTTGGATAAATCTGTGCTTAGACAATGATCCTGACATGGCTACAGAGCATCATTCCTTCTCTTGTTTCCCCTGCAGCACCAAACATGCAGACAGCATTGATCTGGAGCTGGAAGTTGACCCTTTGAATGTGGATCATTTCTCCTGCACTCCTCTGGTAAGAGCAGGGTCTGAAACTTCTGAGAGAGTCTGAGGGCACTTTGGGGAGCTCTTTCTGATGTGTCATTTTCCTAAAGAGTTTCACTCTCTGTAGAATGGATGTTCCTGCTGTGTAAATGGTAAGGCATGGTACTATCAGCTTCCTGGCATTTTGTTGAGAGAGAGCACACAGAACAAAACTTTGTCATTGAGAAGCACAAGGAAAGGGGACAGACAGATGGTTCTGGTTAGTGTTTTACACAGCATCTAGTCTCCACTATCATGGTGAGAAAAGGACTTTACATGCCTTCTTTAACATCGTCCTCTATGACTGTTTAACTGTAGAGGTTGTAAAGTTATAAATTGTCTTGGCTACTGGAGTAATGAAATTATGACTGAGAACTTAGACAAGCAAAAAGCCAAACCAGAGGGAACCAGAATTGCCAGTTTACAACTCAGAGTATTGATTTTATGGTTTCCAACCTTTAGTCCTGTCTGCATGTTTCTGACCTCAGAGATTCCTTTGTGTATGAAGCTGTTCTGTCTCTGCAGTGATGTCAATGTCACTAAAAAAACCCAAAACAGAAGAAACCAAACTGTCAGCTCTGTCATTTGGAGGTTTCTCTGTTGTAGGAGAGAATAGCATGTATTCAGTCCCCTATGTTGGGTTGGGTTGGGTTGGTTTTACTGGGTTAGAACATCTATAAACCTGATCTGCTGGCCTTGAGCGTGTCATGGTTTTGTTGATCAGAAGAGTTTTTCCTTGAGCTGAGATTAACAAGAAAGGAGAAGGCAGATCTCCAGTGGCTCAGTTACCTTTTCCTCTTTAGATGTGGGCCTGTGCCCTGGGCCACATGGATGCAGCTGTTGTGCTGTACAAGTGGGACCGCCGCGCCATCTCCATCCCGGACTCCCTCGGGAGGCTGCCCCTGGCCATCGCTCGCTCTCGGGGCCACGTCAAGCTGGCAGAGTGCTTGGAGCAGCTGCAGAGAGATGAGCAAACTCAGCTTGGGCAGAACCCCAGGATTCAGTGCCCCTCGAGCACAGACTCCAACACAGAGAGCTGGGTGTCCCAGTGGCACAGTGAGCTTGTTGCCTCTCAGGAGCCTCAGAAGGGAGTCACAGTGATTTCCAGTACAAACACAGGTAAAGCATCCATTCAGCTCTGTTTTGCTGACATTTAACATGTGAAAATGTGGGGGTGAGGAGCTCACCTGGGCAGCAGGTGCCACCTGTAGCCTTGCTGTCCACAATTAATTCTTTTCTTGTGGTACGTACACTTGCATAAACATCAGGAAGAGGAGTGAATGCCTGCTTTGGAAAGACTTGTGTGTCTTAGGAGTGGCTGAGACACTGTCCTCCCTGGGTGATTGTTACTCCCTTTGTACATCCTCTGAGGTGTCCATAGAGCACAGCACAAGCTTTGGCCTGAGGCAGAAGCTGTTGATGTTCCTATAGCAGTGGTGAGTTGCATGTTTAGTTTTGACCATTGATCTGTTTGTTTACAGAGCTGAGGCGGCCAAGATCAGAACCTTCCAGCTATTACAGTAGTGAGACTCAGAAAGATTACCCTGCACCCAAAAAGCATAAGCTGAGCCCTGAGTATTTTCAAGCCCGGCAAGAGAAGCTGCTTTCCACTGCACTGAGCCTGGAACAGCCAAGCATTAGGAAGCAGAACTCCAGCTCCAAGCAATCCTCCACTGAGACAATCAGCCCCAGTGAAGGGCTGAGGGACTATGGCCGGGAGCTCTCCCAGCACATCCCAGAAGTTACTGGGTACCGGGGCTCTGGCAGCCAAGCAGGCATCAAATGGAACCCAAAAGACATTTATATTGGTGTGTCTGCAGTGCAGGTGGCAGGGAGCCAGAAGGGGAAGGAGGCCGTGGCCCATCGGCTCCGCCAGCGGGAGCAGATGAATGTGTTGATGATGGCCGACAGGGAGATGGTGGATGCAGAACTCTTGTCCTACAGGGACAGCACAGGGGATGAGGACTGTTTACACCACATGGATGAACTGCAGGTAAACACACCCACAGATCCAAGATCAGCAGTCTCTGAGAGCATGGAGGCTGCACAGAGGATCCTGATCATGAGAACTCCCATGGAGGTCTTTAGAGACTGTGAATTGTGCTTTGAGGAAGGAGGTGGTCACACAGTTAATGTGCTTTCTTCCAATTTCAGTGCAGATATCAAGGCTAATGGTTAGCATTTAGGGTTGTACACTTCAACAGCATACAGAATGCACAAAATTGTTTGCAGTTGTGCAAGGAAAAAGCAGAGCCTGATCACAGCAGTGCATGTGACTCAGATGGCCCAGTAGTCCTCTGGGAACTGGGCAGAAGTCCCTACAAAGACAAGATGTGAGAGAGGTAGTGCTGTGGTTGCAGGCCAGGCCTCTGCACTTCAGAGGGAAGGAGGGTAGGAAAGAGTGGAGAGTGGAAGAGACAGTAGGTTTGGGGAAGGAAGAATCCCACTAGGTATGGAATAGAGGAAATAAAAATATAACAGAAGCAGGAGAGATATATGAGTAGTTACTCTGACAAAGATACAGTGGCTGTCTGAGCAAATGAGTAATGGGAACACAGCCTTACCTGTTCTGCCTTGGCATCTCTGAATGTTCTCCTCTGGCTGGTGTAACAGGGGTGAAGCAGAGCATTGCAAAACAGAAGGAGTTTTTATTCTGAGTTGAAAATTCCCATGAAACTTGCTGAGCTGAGGGATACTGTTCAGAAAGATTGCTGACAGTGTTTTTCCCAAGATTTTTAACTTCTCTTGACGTGCCTTTATTGTCCTGTTGCGCTCATATCTCAGTAAGAGTGGCAAAGTCGCTTTTCCTTTGGAAATAACATAGCAGTGACAGCTGTAGAGGGAGAGCCCAGAGACCTTTCTCCAGATCTCTTGGGCTCCCCATAAAGGGAAAAAGAGGTCCAGGGAATATGAAACCCTGCAGTGTTTGGTCTGAAGAGGCAAAAAAGCAAATGAGCGCTCTTTAATGGGTTTCACTCCACTGTTGAAACAAACTGTAGGTTTGGGCAAAATGGGGAATTCTGTCTAAAGCTGGTCTGTAACATGGAAGCACAAGGCACCTTCTTCCAGGCAGCTAAAGTTTGCTGTTCCTTCCCCCTTGACAGGTGAACATGATGACACTTGCAGAGCACATTATTGAAGCTACGCCTGACAGGATCAAGCGAGAGAATTTTGTGCCAATGGAGTCGCTGCTGGTGGAGAGGACAGACAGTGCTGCTATGAGCACCACCATGAGCTGGCTGGCCAGTTACCTTGCTGATGTTGATCACTTGCCCAGTGCTGCACAGATCAGGTCAGTGGGAGCTGTGAGGTTGGGCTTTGGTGTGGTGTGAGCACTGATGGCAGCATGTTCTGACTCTTCAGCCTGCAGGTGCCAGTGCTCAGTGAGACTCAGTTCTGGCCTTGCTGGCCCAGGCACACTCCTGTGCTCAGATGTGTTGTTGCCAGCACAGCTACAAATTTATGGAATGGGGTTTTCACCCCAGCACCACATCTGTGCAGTGCAGGACAGGCTGGCTCAGGGTGTGGGATGTTGCTTGGAGAGAGAGACAGGAACATAAACCTCTGTCTTGAACTCAGAAATGTTGTTGTCCTTATCTGTGATGCAAACCCAAGTGCTTTGTAAGCCAACAATTCCTACTGTGATTGGTGTTTCAGAAGTCTGTATAGTGAACCCCTGACCCCTTCTTCGAACACCAGCTTGAGCCCTGCAGGCTCTCCAATCAGTGAAATAGCTTTTGAGAAACCCAGCCTTCCCTCGGCAGCAGACTGGTCTGAATTTCTGAGTGCATCCACCAGCGAGAAGGTAGAAAATGAGTTTGCACAGTTAACTCTGTCTGATCATGAGCAGAGAGAACTCTATGAAGCTGCCAAACTCGTCCAGACAGTATTCAGGAAATACAAGGTATGTGGCTCAAATGTCCAGTGTCTTCCTTGATGGGTGTGTGAGAGAGAGAGAGTATAATTTGTTACTAACCAAAATGTGGGTAATATCTACTCCAGGGACAAAAATACAGTTTCTATCATAACCTTTTCAATGCTTCTGACATTTGCTTGTTGGTATTTGCCCAGCAAGTACTGTGTAGGAAGTGCATGCCGTGCCATGCTGTGGCAGAGCAGCACTCACAAAGCACATCCTCAAAATGTAGAGTACGCTCTCGGGACTTTAGTGCTCACAGTGACCCTGAGAGAGGTTAGAAAGTCTCTTTTCCCAGCCCAGCAGTCAAAGAAGGAGTCAGAACTCTTCGGTTCTCGTTCTCAAGGTTGTTTATTGTTTCTTATTTATAAAATTCTTTCTCTGACCTGCCAAGGTCTGCTCAGCAAGACAGACAGAGGCACTCTGCCTCCCCCAGGGTGATGTTATCTTTTTATACTAAAAACTACGTGTACAGTATTTACAATAACTGCCCAATACCCATCACCTATGTTAGACAGTGAACTTCTACTCTAAACCCATCTAAAAGTGCCACCATCACAGCAGAAGATGGAGGCCAAGAAGAAGGAGAAAGGCTGGACACACCCAGATTCCTCCATCTTGCCCCCTGAACCCCCATTCTAAAAATCCAAAAAAATCTATTTTTCACCCAGTGACAAACTGATTATTATTCTGCTTAGACTTTCGTGGCTTGCAGATCCTCATATCAGATTGGTAATTTGCTCCATGGGTCACAATCAAAGTCACAGGTGTCTTGGGCTCTGTGCCAGGGTCTCTGAACCCCCTGGCAGGGGTCCTGGCAATCCAGGACAGCCAGAGGGATGTCCTGAATTCCTACAGTACCCCAGAGGTTCTGCTTGGTTGCCCATTTAGTGTAAAGATGCATTTTGAAGGTTTGTTCCTTATGTGAGTTGACAGCAGAGGCATCTCCAGGAGATGCCTAGGCCTGAGTTGGACCAGGCAGTGTTGACAGGAGAGGTTTTCCCTGCAAGCAGACAAGAGCCAGGTCACCTGTCCTGGCTTTTGGTGCACTCTGCCTGATGCTGCTCCTTCCTTTGTCCACCCAGGGTCGTCCTCTCCGGGAACAGCAGGAGGTGGCTGCTGCTGTTATTCAGCGTTGCTACCGAAAGTACAAACAGGTAATCGAGAAAGTGAAATCTTTTGAGCACATGTAAGTGCCTTGAATGCACCCCTGCCCACCCCAGCAGTGGGCATTGTCCCACTGTTCCTCCCCTGTGCTTTTCAGCATGCACTAATGAAGTACCTTGCTCAGGCAAAATGGAAAAGGGAAGAAGATTTGTGCTCTGAATCTTAGTTTTGGAGGGAATCCTTGAAATTTGTTTGTGATGATGCCTGTGGTTTTGCTGTGAGGTGGAGGGCTGTGATGTATTCCATATTGGCCTTTATGCATGCTACAGCCTGAGGATTCTCTGACTAGTTGCTTGCCAAATTTCATTGTGAAATTGAAGTTGGTTTTGCCTTTGGTAAAGGTGAAGATGAAAAATAGGTTGTTTTATTTTGCACATACTAAACTTTTAAACTACAGGAAGTCACATGTTGTAGGTTGATGCAAGTTTTTCCAGGACTGAGACTGTTCTCCAGACTCTGGTTGGAGACATGTTTTCAGGCTGAGTTCTCAACCCCAGAAAAAGAAGATACCTTTGCTTTTTGATTTTTGGTTAGGTTTTTTTGTTGGTGGTGTTTTTTGGTGTTTTTTTGTTTGGCTGGTTTGGGTTTTTTGTTTTGTTTCATTTTGGTGGTTTTTTGTTTGGTTTTGGGGTCTTTTTGGTGAGGACTAGAGCCCACATCCCTCTTCACACTTTACCCTGCCTAGACACAATCTAATGCCTGGCAGCATGGTAACAGAAAGTAAGGCAAGGCTCCTGTGCTCTTTTACAACCCTCAAAAACATTTATTTGGTCTTTCCTAGTGTTAGGTGACTGCATTGTGGTTCACATCCAACCCATCACATGGCTTTCATTCTGGAGTGATGCTTCCTGTAGTAGGGAAGCTTAATTCCATTCAAAAACTGCTTGAAAATTGTTTTGTCTTAGATCCTGGAATAATTTCTTTTTTGAAAGAAGATTGTTTGGGTCTTTTGTTTTGTTTTGCAGTCTTTATTTGCAGAACTAACATTAACTATGTATTTTTCTGTTTCTCCCCCCAAGCTTACTTGGATAGCCTTGAAGGTAATACAAATACAAACACTATTTTGGAAACAGTTCCCTCTGGGTCACTAATTTTCACACTCAGTATAAACAAGGAGAACCTGGCATTTTGGAGAAACCTTTTAATAGTATCCACTCATAAATGCCTGTGGTTGAGAAATCAGTGACAAACCAGACTTTGTGGGAGTTGTGTAGGGGCTGCTGTGCCACAGTTGCATCAGCTGCCATGAGCAGGGATGGGCTGAGCTGCTGGGAGGGATTTGCAGCAGTTTCCAGAGGAGAGGCTTTAGTGCTCCTGATCAGCTGTCACTTGGACACCTTGGCATTTGGGGGGCACAGAACATTTATCCCACCTGTGAGCCAGTGTCCTCTGCATTCTGCTTGCTTGCTGAAGTATTTAGACCATTCATCTTTGAAATACCTGTGTGCTGAATTCCTAAAACCAACATCTCAGTACGTTGCTGCCCATGCTGGAGGCACAACTGTTGGTGCCACTCTAAAACTGTTCTCAGTCAGTAATTCTCTACTGGAAAAATGGGTTTCCCAGCTGTGCAACACCTTAATCTCATCAGATTCTAGAGTCAAATGAGCTTTTCTCAGGAAGCAAGGTGTGCTTTCCCTGGAGAGAATGTGTCCCTGGGGTGATGTTCCATCCACAGCTCCCCCTGCCCTGTGCTTTTGGGTCAGGCTCAGACCTGTTCTGTCACCACAAGTGGGCTGAGCTCTGGGCACTGAGCTCACCAAGGCTTTTCCTCTTTGGGGAGGAGTTCAGGTGACATCCCCACTGATCCCCTTTCCAGAAGGAAGAAGGGAACAAGAGGAGGACAGGGTGCAACTACTTGGGTCTTAGGGCTGCATGCAGACACGGTGGGGTCTGGTCTGTGCCGTGACTGCTGATTTCTCTTTCACCTCCTTATTCCTCTGATCTGTTACTGCACTGATCAGCAAAGGTTTGTGACTGGATTGGAACAGTCACAGCTCAGGGCATGGTTTTGTATTTGAACCCTTCTGTTCAGGGGTTTGTAACTCAGCCACAGGAGTCCCATCTGGGCTAACACTTTGAGGGAAAACCCTTACCAGCTCATGAGTGGACTTGTTTAAAACAGCAAAATTAAAATCATAATCTGATCCATTAACTAAAAAATATTAAAAAGAAAAAAGAAGGAAACAACATAAAAAAGAAATTAATAATGGCAAAATATAACTGCTCCTTATGACTGCTTCAATTCCAAAAAGTGAAATTTGGTAAATGGTGGTCTGTGATGATATTGGAGGAGTTTTTGCTTTGGGGTTGTGTTGGGTGAGTTGTTTGTTTGCTTTTGGGGTTTTTGTTCCCAGTAGAGAGGAGAAGACTGAGAAATGTTAGGACATTGCCCTGTATGGGGCAGTAGCTGCTACATCTGTCTGATAAAGTGAGCAGAAGTTAAAGCTGATAAAATATCCAGGAACAATAGACACATCAGTTTTGAAAGTATTAAAACTTACCAAAATAAGATCAGCAGACACTGAAAACCTCTGTTATAGTAGCATAAATGCAACTTCTATACATTATTCTACATTTCCATCTTATTAAGGACTTAAAAATATTCATGAATGCACATGTTTCTGTTAAGTGGTCATCACCTTGCATGCTGTCAGAGGAAAAGGATGTAGAAGAAAGATTTTAAGAGTTTGCATCTGCTTTACTGGGAATCACAGGGCTAGAAATAATAATAATCACAGTGCTAGATGGAATTTGGAAAGTGTGTGACTGCTCATGCAAATCTGTGAGTTCATTTCAAGCTTGTTACAGATTTCTAATATTTAGTTTTGCCTGTGTTCTTAGGCTCAGTATTAGACTTATAACTATTGTGGTTTTGGGGGTTTGTTGGGGTTTGGTTTTTTAGAAAGATGGGGGGACAGACATTTGGTGCAATAGGGCAAGTGGTAATGGTTTCAGACTAAAAAAGGGTGGATTCAGATTAGATACAAGGAAGAAAGATTTTATAATGGGGCTGGTGAGTGACTGGCACAGGTTGCCCAGGGATGTGGCAGATGCCCAATCCCTGGAGACATTCAGGAGCAGGCGTGGGGCTCTGAGCAGCCTGATCTCCTTCAAGATGTCCCTGTTCACATTGGGTGGTTGGACAACATGACCCTTAAAGATTCCTCCCAGTGCAAACTATTCTATGATTCCATTAATCCAATAAACTGTTCCACAGGCAGAAAAGCAGATAGAAAACTGTTTTTTTGGTGCAGACTAAGTTCTGCCCCTAATCTCACAGTTGTTCCAGTTTGCTGTCACCATTTTCTTATGGGAATAGATACTTCATTAACTTCTCATCACATCTCAGTGGCTCAAGAGTCTTTCACTGTAGCAACCTGCTTCTTTTTGGTCCTACTGGATGGGAGCAGGCTGGATGGGGCTCTAAGCAGCTGAATGGGGCTCTGAGCAGCCTGATCTCCTTGAAGATGTCCCTGTTCACATTGGGGGAGTTGGACTAGATGACCTTTAAAGATTCTTCCCAGTGCAAACTATCCTATGATTCCATGAATCCAATCAAACTATTCCACAGGCAGGAAAGCAGATAGCTGTTTTCTTGATGCAGACTAAGTTCTGCCCCTAATCTTACATCTGTTCCAGTTTGCTGTCACCATTTTTTACACCATTCCCAGTCAGGGAACAGACACTCATTAACTTCTCATCACATTTTAGTGGCTCAAGAGTCTTTAACTGTAGCAACCTTGCTTCTTTTTGCTCCTACTGGGATGCCTCAGCTTCTCTCTGTTTCTGTTGTAGTATGCACTTTATAAAAAGATGACGCAAGCTGCCATTCTTATCCAGAGCAAATTCCGAAGTTACTACGAGCAGAAGAAGTTCCAGCAGAGCCGCCGGGCGGCGCTGCTGATCCAGCAGTACTACCGCAGCTACAAGGAGTGCGGCAAGAGGAGGCAGAACCGCCGGGCAGCCACCATCGTGCAGCAGAAACTCAGGTGAGCCCAGGCTGCTGATGCTCCTGGCATCTTTGTATATTGCTTTGCTGCTGTGCTGTGCTTCACGAAGGCCAGTGGGAAAAGGAGTGTTTTGTCTCTGACATATTGTGTGAAAAATCCTTTTCCCAGGATCTTTTCTCCTGAGAAGCTGGGAAGCTTCAGCTTCTCCATGTTTTGCTACTTTGGAATGTGATTTGGAGAGTTGTTTACCCAGCATGTGGATTGTTTTTACTTGATGACCAATAACAGCCAGCTGTTGAGGCTGTGAGCAGTCACAAGATTTTATTATTCATTCTTTGTTAGCCTTCTGATGTCTCCTTTCTCTTTCTTTTGTATAGTTTTAGTACATCATTTTCTTTTAATATAATACATATCATAAAATAATAAATCAGCCTTCTGAAACATGGAGTCAAGATTCTCATCTCTTCCCTCGTCCTGGGGACCCTCAAACACCACCACAGTTCATAGGATGATTATTCTTGCATTTAGTAGTGTTCTCCCCAGTTTTGCCTGCACTTCAGTGTTGGGGTTTTTTGTGTTTAGAAGCAGTCTGCTTACCAAGAAGCAGGATCAAGCTGCTCGCAAGATTATGCGGTTTTTACGACGCTGCCGCCACAGGTATGACACTGTCTTTTGGTATCTGCCCTTCCTTAGAGCCCTGTGACAATATCCACGTGTGTCTGCAATGACTGCAATGTAAATATAATAGAATCAGCTCACTACAGATCTTAAAGAACAAAGCTGAGCTGTTGCCATGATGCGCTGTCAAAAATGAAATTTTTAATTTAGGACTGTTGCTGAAAGAGAATTGTGTACAGCTCCATTGCTTATAATGTAGAACAGCCCAGATTGTTTGACTTTAAAAGCTGGACTTGAGAAAGTCTAAAAAAAAGCTTGTTAGATCATAGCTACAGCTTCTGAGTGCCGCCCAAAGCATTCATGGTATGTGGGAAAGTGCAAAAAGTGATGACAACTGGTGTGTGCTGGAAATGCCTTTAGTTTGGACACAGAATCATTTGGTTGGCTCTCCTCAAGTGTGTGTTCGCTTCAGTGTGGGCAGGTGGGATGTGGCAGAGGAGCAGCACAGGTTAGTGCACACCAGCCACTCCAGACATGAGGATGAACCAGCATGGGAGCAGCACAGGCTTGCAGAGTGCTCCCCTGTGGCAGCCACACGCTGCACCAGCAGGGTGCTTGCTGTGGGTTTTAGCTGAAAGGATCCCCTATATGATCAAGTGTGACTTTGCCTAGACAGTGGTGAATCCTGAATTTCTGACTCTGCCCCCTCCATTCTCACTACCCATGCATTTCATCCACTCAGGTCACACCTGATGCATTTTGAAGCATGTTTAGTTCAGTCCAGTGACATTTAACCAGGAGAGCTCTTAGAGGCATGTGATAGACTCCTGATTTTAGAAACACTCAGTCTTTATTGCAGGATTTCAAAGCTTCACTTTGTTAGGAGTTCAGTGTGGCTTGTGCTGTGGAAGTAAGAAGTACATCTTACCTGCAGGTTCAGTGGGAAGTAACATGTGTGGCCAAGAAAGAGGGCTTTGTAGTTCCCAGGCTGATTCCAAGTGCTCTTGAAACAGCCACAGCCATTGATGAAGAAGCACAAGTGACTTCCCTCTTTCAGCAGGGCATATGGAAGAGACCAAAGTGGTTGTTTTGTTGTGTTTGCTGTGCAGCATGTCCTGGAGGTTCAGAACTTCTGTGTCCTCTCAGATCTGCTTGAGGGGGGAACCAAGTGCCAAGTTTCCATCCATGGGGTCTCTGGGGTCAGCCTGAGAGGCTCCTAGAGCCAACTCAGACACAGGCCCAGGGAATGTGGAACCCCCAGTGTCCCTGGGGTTCTCACCAGCACCCAGGATGTGCCATGCACTCCAAGCAGGGCTCAGTTAAGACTCCAGCTGTTGAGTAACACAGATTCTGCAAGGCTTAAATTGCCCATGATTCCAACAGTTCTCGACTTCAGCTCGTTCCCTTCCTCTTCCTCAGTGTCTCCTCTTCCCTTTGCAGAGAGACCCTGCTCATCTGCACCCAGGGTCATTCTCCTCTCTCCAGCAGCACAATCTCTGCTCTGGGCATCCCTGCAGGAGGAGTTCAGCTCTTGGGGAGTTCCAGACAGAAATTCAGGAGCAGGGGGGATTCTCTGTCATTAGGATCTCTCTGGCTCACATCACACTGTGCAGTGCTGGATCTTCTGCAGCACTGCAGTCCTGTCCCATGTCCATGTTTGTTACCACTTGTGGTTGCTCAGGAATTCGGTCATGGTTCTTGGCTAGGATGCAGCAAAAGGAAAAAGTGACTTGCCTCCACTGAAGATGTTAACAGTGTTTCAAAACTGGCTTGTTTTACCTTCTGAAATAGGAATGATCACAGGGTTATGGTTGCATATTTTCTCCAGGCAATCATAAGAGTTTAAAATTGAGTTAATGTAACTATTATTAGTAATTAACTAATTTGAACAGGAGCATTGTGGCATTGGTAAATGTTAAAAGGGAAAGCAAGACTTAGCAAAATACCAAAACCAGCATTCAGAATCTGCTTGAAAAATACGTAAATTTAGCAGATTCATAGAACTGCCTAGAAATGTGACAGGTTTGAGTCTCATTCCCCATTTTCCTCCTGCTTGCTAAAAAAGTTTCCAACAGTGTACACTTCATGCTCTGTACACTTGGGCTGCATCTGTGTTCCTTTAGTGTCTCACAGACCCTCAGGCTCCTGTGGCTGCTGGAACCCCACAGGGATCTGGTGCCTCTGCTCTCTGCAGTCAGTGACAAACACCATGCCAATCAGGTTCTTAAAGCTTTATCACCACACAGGATTTTGAAGACAAATCAGAAGCCTTTTGCTTGTATAAACAACTGTATAGGGAAATATAATCCTGGAAATTGCACAAATCATCTGCTCAATAGAACAGAGCTTCACTTGCTGCAGTATCTCAGCTGACTCAGACTGACCTGCTCATTTCTTTGCTCCCTGTCCTGAGGGGCAGATCCCTGTGCTTACCCTGGCACAGCCATATCCTGGTGAGGGCACCCACCTCCATTCCTTCCCAGCCCTCTCTCATGGCTGCAGGTACTCTGGGGTACCAATAACAACATTGTTCCTCCCTGCTTGATTTTCTTGCTTGCCTCTTCCTAAGGAGAGAGTAATAAAGCTTAGGATGCTAAGTGAGTTTCAGATCACCTCTGTGTGAGCTTCCTAATTATATCCCTTCAGTCTCCATGTGACACTCACACAGGGTGCAGCTGATGAGGATGGGGCTGGTGCTTGGGCTAAGAGCCCACACACTCTTTCTGCTTGTTGAAATCTCATTGCAGTCTCCTCCTGTATTATTCCAAATTAGCACACTGCTGCTATAAACAATTTAAGAAAGCCCCAATCTCCAGAAAGAGACACTTCAGCCATCCAAGCTCCTGAACATCCAGGGGTGAGCCATAACAGCTAGTACCTAATGTTAGTTGAGGCTCTGTGGTATAAAAATGGCACTGTGGAGCTACTTTTTAAACCACAGTGCCTTGTCAGTGCAAGGGATTGAAATGACAACTATTTCTGGAAGATCTGAGGGAGTGAGAGAAAAGAGAGCATGCACAGGAATGTCAAACAAACAGGATCTTGTAACAGATTTCTGCCAGTTGATAGAGCTGGGGGAAGAGGCTGCAAAAGCCAGTTGCAGTCTGTTGTGAGAGAGTGAGCTAAGTGAGAAATGCCTAAAGTTCAGAAATTCAACCCTTGAAAAATTGAATAGTTTAACCTAGACTTTGGCCATGAGCAAATTCTGTTGCTGAGCCAAAAAATTACTCTCAAGAGTTTATTCTGTAGCCTTTAGGTGAGATTTAGTCAGGGTTTCCTCAGGCAACTGTCTGCTTGGTGGAGTTTTTTCTTTGTTTAAAATTGATCAAAGTCTACTTTAAGCCAATTATGAGAACTGTTTGTCTGCTTGCATTCAGAACAGCTTAAATGGTCCTCTTGTCCTATTTTGTTTAATAACTTTTTGGAACAAAGGCTTAATATCTCAAATGTGATTTTGATCACCTTGAGGATCTGATCTCCTGAATTTAATGTTTGTTGCCTGACCAGAAGGTATTTCAAGTATTTTGGGAGAGTTAATGAGAAGTTCTGCAGCTGGAGCTCTCAGTGGATGCATAGATGTTGATGAAAATCAGAAAATACATGAAAAATACATGAAAATCAGTAAGTTTTAGTTGAATGTACTCTTAGAGAAGATACTGGAGCTCTAGTAGCTGAATGTCATGGAGACAAAAGGGATCATTCATCAGCAGGAGTCATTCTGACTGTCAGACATGTATTGTTTCCTTTTGACTTTGAACAAAACCCCCCATATTTATCCATCTATTGTCATATTCTCAAAAATCTGGTGAATAACATGCATCAGCATAACATGGTATCAACATGATCTGTCACAGAAGTGTTGTTTATTGAGAATGAAACAGAAACTTCCTGGCCTCCCAGGAGAGCTTCACCCATCTTCCCATGGTGCCCAAACCTGTCAGCTCTTACTTGACTGAATTCCAGCCCAAAACTTGCCCCTGACACCTCCTGTGAGCTGAGCTGCCTCCAGGCTCACTGTCCTGAGGCAGAACCAAAGCTTTGCATAGTTAATAATTTTGGAGAGACTCCACCTACTTAGTGATCCCCAGATGTGACAGATCTAGAGCTGCAAGGAAATCCAGGAGCTCCAATGGGTTTGGATTTGCTGAGCTGAGTTCATGTATGGTACAGCCAGGTAACCTCCTATTTCCTGTTCTTTCTCTGATTTGTAGGAAACTTCTACTCTTCTGGGGGATATCTAAACCATTGCTAAGATGGAATTATGCTCTGCAGTGTTTTCTGTGGAGTAGCATTTGGGATGAGATAGAAAAGAGGGAGGCAGGATGCAGCTAGAAATGCCACGGGAATGACAGTGTTGGGTTTTTTCGACTTGCTTATAACTTTCTGCCCTAAAGCACCTAAACACAGGACACTTCCCTGGTAAAGAGGAGTCCCTAGGCAGGAGTGGGAAGGGTTCTTTCTCTCCAGGCAAGCAGAAGTGCTGTCTCCTCCTCCCTGAAGTGAAGCTCTGGGTAAGGTATGGTTGTTGCCATGTGTGTCTAATGGCTCTTTGGTATTGTTTTGCACTCTAAAGCCCTCTGGTGGACCATAGGCTGTACAAAAGGGTGAGTGTAGCTGCCTGCTAGCCAGTTCCTCTCTTCCATTTTAAATATATTTGCTTTCTGCTTGCTTGCATGGGGCTGCGGCCGAGATATGCCAGTAAGTTTCACCTCCATTAATTCTCTGAAAGAATCTTTAATAAACTAACCCTACTGCAATGACTAACACTGCTGCTTTTGTAACAGGACAGAGCTCTGCAGTAGATGTTACCAGTGCATGAATGTGTGAAAAAGGACATGTATATTCATCATGGGCATGCTTAGATGGCATTGTTGGTGGGGTATTTTTTCAGTATCCAAAATGGCTGTGAGTAGATGTTGGAATTTGACAGGGTCTGCACTCACACACTCAGTGAACTCTGTTGTCATGGACTGCAGCAGCATTCAGGGTAGATCATAGGAAGCTGCCCTGCAGGTGCAGCCTACTCTGAATGGGTATTTATTTCTGCAGAAGAGCTCCTCACACTGCTCTTCACTCCCAAAGGTGGTTAAGCACCAGTGTTTATCTTCTGTAAGTTGATCTTTGGTAAGTCGCACTTCTGGTTGCTTTATAGGGCCAGCTTTTTGACAGCTGTTTACCTCATTTATTAATCCACATATTGGGAAGGAAAACAACAAAAAAAAAAGAGTGAAGATGCTGTAACTGTGTTATAGTAAGTGCCAAGGGAGCATCTGTTGGGAGTCTCATTCTCAGCATGAAGAGCCCACTCACCTGTGTGCTCAGTTGTGTTGGTGGCTGGTTGGGTGTGAGACAGCAGCAAGTGGCAAGAGGTGGTGTTGCCTGGAATCAAAAGAAAAGCTTTCCAAACAATATAAAAAGTGCTAATATAAAGAGCAGTTCTTAATGAAAGCATTCAGGTGCAGAAAACATAGGGAAGAGCATATGCGGTATAGAATTTGTACAGTTTTTATAAGGTTAATTAATTAGTGTATCTAGGAGGTAAATCCAATAGTTTCACCCTTGGCCCTGCCCCTTGGAGTGTCTCCAGGAGGTTCTTTGCCCTCTATCTTGTTTTGACTCTCAAATGCTGGTGCAAAACAAGATGTCCTTGTTCTTTTCTTGAAAATAAGACTAAATAAAATTTCAAGCATGTGACATAATGTATTAAAAAGGGTTAGCTATTGAACAGCTAAGAAAGTGCTAGAAGCTATAAAACTGTATATTAGAAACCTGCAAAGCTACAAGTACATGAAAAAGCTACAGATCTTTAGGTATCAGTGGGAGAATTCCTGTGACAGCTCTGTCAAGGCAGGTGCCTCAACTGCCAGCAAGGCTGCTCTGTTCCATCTCACACCTGAGAGTTTGGTTGGGCAGCAGGGTTGTTTGTAAAAAACTGCTGCCAGAAACTTCACCGTTTGTGTGCTTATTGCTCCTGTTTTCAGCAAGAAAAGTGTGTCCTGGACCCTTGCTTCTATGTAATGTTGTAAAAAGAAAACTGCATTGTTGATGACCAAGTTTTATTGACTTAGAATTGCAGAGATCATTTTCAAGACTCAAAAATGAGAGCATGAATTGGGCCTGAGCCTGCTGGAGACACCATTATTTGTTTAACTATTTATGCTAACAAAGGAGCAGCTAATGACATTTGTTTCCAAAGGATGACTTCTGTGCTACCTTTTTTTGTTGTATGTCCTCACTTTTTTACAAGTTAAAACTTGGAGTTTTTACTAATAACAGATGAAGTAGGAATTGAGTGAAATGAGGGCAGGTTCTGCAGGGGCTGCTGTCAGCAGAGGCCAGTTGTCAGTGTGGGAGGAGAAATTATTTACTTTTAAGGCTTTATGTATGTGATAGCATTTGAGAAATTAGCAGGAAGCAGATTCTGGGAGTTTGGTAGCATTTGCAGGTTTTGCCTGGGATGACCAATGATTGTGATGGATGGGGAGATGGGGTGGGAAAAGTAAACTGTGAGCTATCTCAGTATGTACTGGCTGCTGTTCTGCCAAAGTAAGTCTATAATGGCAAAAGTTCTGTGCTGCTCTTCATTCTGGCAGCACCCTGTGTGTGGGTGTGTGTTCTGGAGTGCACAAACACCAGGAGTGTGCCCAGGCCTGCAGATGGGCCCAGGCTGGCACAGCCCCCCTGCTCAGGGAGTGCCTGCAGATGTGTCTGTAATACACAAATTGGGTGTTTCCTGCACGTGTGCTGTTGGAGTGTGCAGAGAAATGATTGCAGCATTTGCTCCTGGGTTTCAGCTTCAAAACCTTCCCAAATTGAGTGATTTTTTTGGGATTTATTTGGGTGACATTACACCATGATAAGTAAAGAGGAAGAGGCAGGAGATTTTACTGGCTGACTCTTGTGAGATGAGACTTGGTATCCTTCTGCAGCAGAAATTAAAATACCTTTTAGGGGAAAAAAACCCCAGTTGCTGTTGCCTTTAAGTAACAGTTTTCATCCCAAGGAAACCTGCTTAAGTAGAGGGATTTCAGCTACTCACCATGCCCCCCTACACAAATGTTTGCCTTCATTTTGGTCCAACCATCCTCTGTAGCCTCCTGCAAAATAAGATCACAAGGAGTGAGTGAGTCTTTCCCATCTCAAAGCACCTTCTGCCTACAGCAAAGCTTCTGTCCTCTCTGGGGCAGAACAAATGCACTTGTTACCCATAATAATGAGTAATAAAACCTGCCTTCATTCGCCTTTCATGTACAAATAAGCCCCCTTGCCCCACCATGTTCTCACAGTTTAATTAAATGCTGCTCTCCAGTTTTGGGGAGTTAAGTGTGTAGCATCTGAAGTAATTTCTCTGGTAAGTACAGCTGCATTTCATACCTGAATAAACAACATCTGCTGTGTTTTGTTGTTCTCTGCATACTCTTCCCTCTTTTGGCATTTTAGCAAGAAACCTTTTCCTACTCCTGTGCAGTGCATCTAGGGCTTGTAATTTTAATGTGGTTTTAATCTGTGCAGTGCAGCAGACATTGCATTGAGGTTCCTGGTTTCTTGCCTCTCTTAGTAAGATGGAGAATAGGGGAACATTTCAAGGGGTAGGAAAGTCCTGTTTGTTTGAGACCAGGACAATGTGTGAAAATGCCATACTGGGATATGCATCACTGTACCTGCAACAGAAGTTTTCAAAGTAATTTCTTTTTTCATTTACCTCTTGCAGGGGCTGAATGTGTTTGGAGCTCAGATGTGTGTATTGAATTGCAGACTGCATGCTCTGGGGTCTCGTTCTTATTGGGCCTTTCTGTCTTTTCTGTTTTGCTGCCTAAATGAGGTATCTGGAAAAAGGCAAGATCTCCCTTGTCTTAAATATCCCACAGGCCATTTCAGCTCTCAGAGCAACAGGTAACTCACCAGTCAGCCTTCTCTGGCTCTTGCACCCTGTCCTGTGAACTGATCTTCAGCATTTGGACTCATTCAGCATTTCCCTGGCTGGGCATTACAGAGTCACTCTGGTGGAGCAGCTTTGTGTTATGCTTGACCCATGGAGCCATCCTTTGCTGTGACCTTCTCTGAGTAGGGCTGGTTCATCTGCTGAGAGCCTGTCCAGGACTGGAGAGGACATGGGGAGAGGAGCTGCCACTTGCTGGGGCTGTTGCTTATTACATTGCTTCAGCACATGGTGATGCACCCCCTGTACACTGTCCAAGTGAGCAACATGGTGTGAGGGGCAGAAACTTGGGCTGGCTGGAGCAGTTTGGGAACCAGGATGTATCTCCCAAGAGCCAGGGTTCAAAGCTCATGTTTGAAATCATCTTCTCTTCCCTTTGTGTATGTCAGCATCACGGCTGTGATTTCAGACACCTCGGGTCATCTCTATTGCACGTGCTTTTCCTTTCCATCTGCTCTTCAGCTCTTGCAGAGGGAATAACTTTGTGCCTTAGAAATGCTTACCATCTGGAGAATGTTATTTGGGGAGGTGTTTGTTCAAGGCTTTACCCCAGTGCAAAATCAGCTGTACAGTCAAAACCCAGTTTTGTGCATGGTTTCAGAGCTGCTGGCATAGGATGGTGCTTTTTGTTTGGAGACCTGCAAAAGTCAGGGTCTGTTTTCCATTCTGGGCATCACTTGAGCTGTTCTGACTCCAGCCCTCATTCAGCTCTCCCAGAAGTGATCCAAACCAGTGTGACAGAGCTTGTAGACTCCTGGAGAGGTTTGCAACCATCCAGCAGCACCTGGCCTGCTGCTGTCACTTCCATTGCCCTCGTTTCCTCTGTTGTTTAAAAAAATAATCTTACTGCAAATCTACCAAACTGGGTTGAAACATCTTCTCTAAGAACATTCTTTCTGCTGTTCAATTCTGTAAATCCCAGTAGTGTTCTTTTCCTTGCAGCAGTTTATTAATGCTTGTAACTGCAAATGCTACACTTTGGTTCTCTTCCCTGCCTCAGTTTAAGACTGGAAAAATGTTACCCAAAGAAGATTGCCTTGTAGCATGAAGGCAGTGCTATATTGTTCACTTAAAATCTCTCCTAGCAGCACTTAGAGGATTTCTATTCTCAAGGGTCCTAATTTGTCCAAAATTCTTCCCTGGTCAACCTGTATTTTTTAACTGCAGTTGAAAATTTTGAGGGTTTGTTACACTGGGTATTAATGAAGAGGAACACCAGTCCCTGCTGTTGTTATAATTAAATCAAGTGCCACTGAGTGAGGAACTCAAGAAGAGTTAAGAAAAGACTGAAAGAACTTCTAAGACACAGGAAAGGCTGCAGTGCAGGCTATCCAAGAAAGAAATGGTTGAAGACAATTATTTTTAGGTTCTCTTGACAAAGCATTTCAGATAATGATTACCTTGGTGTGTACACTGGCACCTCCTGTTTATCATGGTTTGAGGAAGCAGCATGGTGTTCACAGTAACACCTCAGAACTTCCCAGTGCCACTCTGGCCTGGTTCCATTTTTGGTACCATTTGGAGGTATTTCAGTTTATTTGTCTGTGCCTGCTGCAGAGCCCATGATGAGCCAAGGAGAAGGAAGAACTTCCCTGGCATCCCAGGGCCAGCTCTGGAGAGAGGAGGAGAGACTGAGAGCTGCAGACTGCAAGTTTCCATATCTACCAGGCAGTGTGTTAATGGAATAAAGGACTCACAGTACCTACCTGCACTCCCACCTGCAGTGGGACACACACACTATTGCATTGAACAAAGAGACAATTGCAAAAAATTTTGTTAGATAATTTTAAAAAATATGGTAGATAAATTAAAAAATATGGTTAGATAATTTAAAAAAAATATGGTAGCTTAGTGAATTTGGGTGCTTATCATCTTGAGGCCTAAATGTGTAAATGCTATGGAATGCAGGGTTTGTTTTAAGCCTATTTACATCCTAAATAGCATCTTTCAGTAATGTACCTGTGGCAGATTTCAGTTTATACCTTTAGGGAAATTCTGTACTGTTTTGTGTCTGTGTTTTTCAGCAGTAATTATTACACCTGCATGTAAATGATGTAAATCCCACCTGACCAAGGAAAGTGTTGCAAATGCAAAGTGTTTGACTCTACCCCATGTGACATCCTTGTCTCTAAATTGGGGGAATGTGGTTTTGAGGATGGACCAGTGGGTGGATGAAGAACTGGCTGGTTGGCCACGTGCAGAGAGCTGTGGTCAGGGGTTTATGGTCCAGGTGGAGGCCAGTGATGAGTGGGGCATAGTGGGGCTGATACTGTTCAACATCTTGGTCAGTGCCATGGCCAGGGGATTGAGGGCACCCTCAGTGAGTTTGCTGACACCCCTGAGCTGTGTGGGAGGGAAGGGCTGGATCCAGAGGGACCTGGGCAGGCTGGAGAGGTGGGGCTGTGTGAACCTCAGGAGCAGAGTCAAGGGCAAGGTCCTACACCTGGGTCTGGGCAGTCACACACACAGACAGGCTGGGTGGAGAAGTGATTGAAAACAGCCTTGTGGAGAAAAACTTGGGTCATGGTTGATGAGAAACTCCCCCTGAGCTGGCACTGAGTGCTCCCAGCCCAGAAACCATTTGTGTCCTGGGCTGCATCCAAAGGAGCATGGCCAGCAGGGGAGGAGGGGATTCTCACCCTCTGCTCTTGTCAGACCTGCACACAGTTCTGGTGTCCCCAACAAGAGAAGGACATGGAACTGTTGGAGCAAGTCCAAAGAATGCTGTGAAGTTGATAAGAGAGGACTGGAGCACCTCTCCTACAAAGACAGGCTGAGAAAATTGGGGCTGCTCAGCCTGGAGAAGAAAAGGTTGTGTGGAGACCTCACAGCACCTTCCAGTGTGTGGAGGATGCTACAGGGGACCTGAAAAGGGACTTTTCATCCAGAACTGTAGTGATAGGGTGAGGAGTACCTGATACAAATTGAAAGAGGGGGATTGTCACTATAGGACACGAAAGAACACAAGCACCCATTGCTGTTTTCAAGGTTAAGGAAAAAAGGGAAGTTTATTTTCTGACTCCAACATTTATAGTTTTCTAAAAGTGACAGCGGATTGGAGGGTGACAGTGCCACCTCTCCAATGACACTGGTCAAACTGTCTATCAACTCTCTCTTCTTCTATAAAGGAATGCAAAACAATGAGTTATTTACAGAAAGGGTGTGAGAAAGTTCACTACAAGAATGTCAACATCAGAAGGTTTAGAAAATCTTAAAAAACTAGGGTGACAGGGGATTTTAGTTGAGATATTAAGAATTTTTTTTTTTCCCTGTGAGGATTATGAGACACTGCAATAAGTTACCCAGAGAAGCTGTGGCTGCCCCATCCCTGGAAGTGTTCAAGGCCAGGTTGGATATGGCCTTGAGCAGCCTGGGAGAGTGGAAGGTGTCCCTGCCTATGGCAGGGGAGTTGGGGCTACAAGATTTTAAGGTCCCTTCCAACCCTTTACATTCTATGATTCTGTGATTCTCTGTTTCTGAACCAGGAGCTGTTTTAGTGCAAATGCTGAGTGCTGCAGTAATTAACTTCTGTTGGCATGTGTGTTCCAGGCAAACAGATGCAATAGTTGTGCACCAGTGCAGATATTGCATGCTGTAGGTTGAAGTTTGCAGCAAAGCATGTCTTGCATTCTTCAGTGGAAGTGCTTTGTTAGTGTAGCCCTTGCATGTGAAGTGCTGAAGTAAGGAATAGCATGTCTCACTAAGAGCCACCAGCTTACTCAATGTGCATGTTCTCAGTGAGAGATCTGTAATAACAGGTTAATTTTACATTACAGTACTGAGGTGCAACAGAAAACACTTGGAAGTTGCACTGCAAATCATGCATTAATTGGTGGTACCTTAAACACAGCTAATCTAAGCTTTAAAAATTGTCCCTTGCACAGAGGCACAACATCTTTTCTAGCACAGCACCAGGGATTCTGGCTCTCCTGCTTCTAAATGCTGCACTACTAGAAATGTTAATTAAAAATTCAAGGGAGAGGCTGCTTTTCTGCCCCAAGAAAATAAAATTAGATATACTGGAGATGAGTAATTTGTCATTTGTCACTGTTTGGCTTACTGTGTCAGCCCTCCTGTGTTTCCTGCAATGAAAAGGGGATCTGGCTGTACCCAGCATATAGAACCCCAGTGATCTTAGAACTCTTAGAGAACAAACTTAGAGGCTTGTGCTGCCTTCTGTGCAGTGCTGGAGCCTCTTAATGTCAGCAGGCTCTTTTAGACCCCAGCCTGTGTAGAGCCAAAATCTTCCCAAAGGAGATTTTTCTGTAAAGAACAATCTCAGCATGGCACTGTCCAGGCAAGAGCCGAGAGCCCCTGGTGCTGTTGCTGCCCTGTCCCTCCCTTAGCCTGGGACCAGAGCACTGCTTGGCACCTGCTGGGCTGCTCTGCTGGGCTTGGATCTCAGGAATATCAGTGCCTTCAGACCCTGAACACACCCACTGGGTGCATTTGCCTAGCAGAGCCCTCTGTCTTTCCTTCCATACATGATATTCTCCAAAAGAATTAGAATAATTAACAAAGGTCTAACCTGCAGACAGGTTAGTCTGATTTGACCCCTGTTGGCCACATTTCACAAATACTGAGAATGCATTTGAGTGCCAGAGCCTTTGAGTCAGCTAAAACAGAGGTAAAAGCAGCCAGCTCCCTTTTCACTGTGCTTCTGACTAATAGTACATGCAGAAAAATGAATAAATAAAATGGTGAGAAGGAGGTGTATTTATAGAGATCAATTTATAGCCTTCATTCTATCCTTAATTAGCAGGCTGGTGCAAGAGCCAAAAGATGTGTGGGTGTGAGTCTGTGCACAGTAGCTACAAACTGTCACTGCTGCTGCTCAGCTCTCCTGATGTGTTTTTTTACTTTTATTTACTTGGGATTTGTTACATTCTTTCACTTGTAGCTGGTTGCCTTACACAGACTTGCATCTCTGACACTATTTTTTGTACTAAACCTTTGTTACTTGTCCTTTTAAGTTTTTGCAGCATCACATGAGCACTTGAGCCTGTACAGGCTTAGCTAAATCACCTTTTCTATTATTTTTGCTGTAATCTGCTCCTTTTGCAGGGGACTTCCCCTTGCAGGAGCAGAGGGAAGACACGTGGAGGCAGGTGGCAAAGGGATCTCAGTGCAGAGGAATTGCTTGCAAGGGGAGGCAGAGCCAGCCCAAGCACAGCTGGGCACCTTTGGGGCAGCACAGGAAAATGCCTTTGGATTTGGTCTGGCTGCTTTCACTGCACACAGCCAGGCTCTCAGCCTGAGCAGAAGGATTCCTGCTGCCCCAGCTCCAGTGCAGAGCTCTGTTCCACTTGATGGGATTGAAATTATTCCCTTCTTTTCAACCTTTAATTTAATTTTTAATTCTTTCACCTTTCAGTGATGGCTTAGTTCTTGTGTTGATGAGTTAGAGGAGGTAATTATGGCATGCATTTGGGAAAGCTGAGAACTGGCCACATCTAGGAGGAGTGACTTCCACACTGCAGGTTCATCTCCCTTGGCACACAGCACGCTGCCAACAGCTTGATAAACAGGGGCACAGCAGCTGGAGAACTCGAGAAACAAAATGCCTTTCTTCACACCCATACTGGTTCTTGTGCTTGTACATGAGCACTTCCTCATGTGAGGTTCTCTGTACACTCCAGGCTTCCTTTCCAAGCTGGACAGAGGGATCTTCCCCTGCCTGAGCACTGAGTGGAGAAAAGGAGCAGCACTGAACAAAGGTCACCCCTTTGCTGTGAGCAGCTGCAGGGTCAGGCAGGGACCAGCAGTCCAGGGAACCCCAAGGGATCAGGCTGACACCAGAATTAATCCCAGTACTGGGGAAAAGCAGTGGAACCAAGTGTGTCTCCCCAGAGGTTTTTGTCTGGGATCCCCAGTGGCCTGTTCTTGCACTTCCAGCTGTTTATGGTGTTGGGAAGGTGCTGCCTTCCTCTCGTGTCTCTGGGAGCTGCCTCTTCTGCACGGCAGTGATGAATCATTTTGATTGTTCTGTCTTCAAGAGATTTGTAGTAGAAGTGTTACATAGCTCCTCTTTGTTTTTTCAGAGTGAAAGAATTGAAAAAGGCCAAGGAACTTGAAGATACGCAGCAGCATCCCGTAGCAATGTGACATTGCTTTTCAGACTGTTTTCATTTTCTGTTTTTAGCAGAGACATGCAACAACAACAAAAATACCCACTGCAGTTCTGGAAATACCAGCTGCAGGATTTTAACAGTAATGTTTTGGTCATTGCATTTGCACTTTCATGGACAACTTTTAATTTGTTCAGCAAGACATCTTGGAACTCAATCTTCTGTTGGATCGTGGGGAAAACAAGACACCAGGAGGAAATCGTGAGTTGCTTCATTCTCCGAGGAGGAAGGAAGAAGCGATTAATTAATTATCCTTTTCATATAGGGCTGTATTAAACAACATGTGGAACTGTACAAATATTATACCAAAAATATTGTTCAGAAAAGGTGGGAATGCACAAGCAACACAAGAATGCTGTTCCTGCACCTGTCAGTCATCTCCAAGAAACTGAAGCTTTGAGAGTCTCAGTGGAGGGGCTTAGATCAGTACATCTTTATTGGGTCCATGCATCCTCATTTCCTTCGCACTCCTGTCCTTTGTGTTTTATTTAAACCTCTACAGCACACTTAATGCAACTTTTTAAATCTGCAGGTTTTTAATACATCCCGTGGGAACTTACAGGAGGGGTTTGGTGGATGAGAGACACGGGTATTGCATGAGGAATGGAGAGAGCAGCTTAAGCAAGTTTTACACTTTTTTTTTTTTGTATTTTTACTAGAACCTGCAAACATATCAACTGTCATGTACTTTCTCTCATATTCAGCACTTTATTTTCTAGCCTTACCTTCATGTACTATTGTTTTAATTAAGTTCTCAAATAATTTGTAAAACATGTAGCTTTTTCTCTTATGTACTTGTCAAACCTCTTGTCATTTTGCAGAGTCACGTACATATGTTGCCTGGACATTTTATGCCACCTAAAGATCAGTGGTGCTGCATTCTGGCCAGTAAATTTCTTATTTTGGCTACTTCATCAAAATCTGGGCAGTTTCTGTATATATAGAAGGTAGAAATGGAAAATGAGAAAAAAATATTTGAAAGGGAATATATTGATTAATTACTAAATATTTTATTCACAAAGGGTCAATAACTTGGCAAGATAAAATTATTATTTGTATAGTTTTGTCTGAATGAACGAGAAGAGTGTGGATGTATTGTTTGTACATATTGTATATATTAAAGAGATATGTGCATGAACTCAAGAAAAAGAAATGAACAAAGCAAAGCATTAGTGGCTATGGTCTGTAAAATGAAACAAAAACTTTATTTCACTATAAGAAACTTTATTTTAAATGTTCTTTAGAAGAACATTTTTGCTAAAGCATGACTAAATGGCAAAAAAGAGCTACTGTATTTAGACTTAGGAAAAAAAAGGCAGAGCAACATTACTTTAAAAAAAAAAAAAAAAGAAAAAAAGGATATGTTTACATTTGATTTTGGCTACCAGGAGTTTGGTTCAGTTGGGTTTAATTTATGTATTCCTTCCTTCTTTTTTTTTACCCCCGTCTTTTTTTTTTTTCTTTTTTTTTTTGCCAATGGTGCCAAGTAATGTGAATGCTAATATTGCTTAAGAAAATTAAGTTACTTTTGCAAAGCAGATAATCATAAGAGTACAAAAACCGTATCTAGCTTAACACCATACACTCACTCCAATAAAGAACACTTAGAATGAACATAAAATGAAAAAAAATAAATAAATAGTACGAAAGTAGAAAATATGTTTCACATTTTCATATCTCCTGCTGGAAGTCAGAAAATGTAATAAAAATTGCACAAAAAATTTTAAAAAATTAAGTAAAACTTAAAAAAAAAAGATGCAAACTGATCCTGTAGGGGTGTCATGGTATATTGCTATTTCCACATAGTGAGGAGCCAAAGAAATTAGATTTTTTTTAAATTGAGCTACTAATTTAAAACTGTCACAGATTCTCAACAATGGGAACCAGTTCTGATCTTCATTACACAGGAATGTAAGGGAAGAAACTCCTGAAGTCCGTGTCATTACTTGTGGGTCACGTACATGTGTCTGAGATCAGAAACTGCTCCTGTCTGTTTGTCTCGCTCGTGGCAGTTTAAAATTTCTGAATGAACTTGTGTAAATTTGAGATTGTTAGTTTTGGAATAGTTGTTCTTGCTTGATCCCGGCCACCAACTGCAATGTTTAAACGCAAGGCTTGTTGTGAAGCCAAAAAATATTCACACATAGGAAGCTTTGAAACTGGTGTCTTTAAAAGAAGAGTAAAAACAAAGATTGTGGCAAAAAAACTGGGGTCAGTGCTCTTGGTGCCTTTTCTATAATTGTACCTGTTTTTAATTACTTCTTTTCACTGCCAGCATTGAATTACAGTAGATGTGCTATAGCTCATTATCAGAATTCTCTTGTACATTTCTGAACTGCTGCTTTATGACCTGATTCAATTTTAAAAAAAAAAAGGGAAAAAAGCAAAACAAATGGCCTGGCGCTCACACTGTGCCTGTGGGCAGCCTTGTGGCCTGATTTACTGTCTGCAATTGGAACCTTAACCATTAAATTTTCCTCTCATGCCAAAACAGAACAGGAGAAGCTGAAGAATCTCCTTTGGAATGAATTGGAAATGCTCTGTATTAGTACTGGAAGAACTCTTGACATTTGGAAACCGAAATATTGCACCCATTAACCAATACGTGACAATATAGAATTGATCTGTTCCTAACAAGAGTAGTGACCTCAGTGGAAATGTTTCAACTCCTCGTCTTTACAGAAAACCATTCAGTAATATACAGAGCTATTTCAAATTTACTCTTCCAGATCCATGGGCCTGGTGGTGTATCTACTAACCTAGATCCTGCTTCAGCCAAACGTTTAAGGCTGTGCTGGCTGTGGAGCACGCAGGCAGTTCTGCAGCACAGCTCCAGGACTCCTGGCATGCTCGGAGCCAGCCCAGCTCCCAAGTGCTTTGTTGTGTCGGGCAGAAACCCTTCAGTGTGTGTCACTGGGCAGGGAGCAGCACTCCCCCGCAGTGAAGTGATTCCTTCGAACCCTCTTCTTGGTTGTGGAACTTAACATTTTCACCTAAGATATAAGTAAGTGCAGCTTTCTAGGAAAATTCAAATTCCCAAGTGCCAGGAGCCAGATCTTCTGTCTTCTGATAATAGAATCGCTCCTTTGTGAAACACATTCGACAGCAGTAATACTGTGTGAAAGAAATACAGAATATAACATGAACCCCCTCTCTGGTTGCACGCTTATGGCAGTTCCACACAATAGCTGGTGCCCAATGGGGGGTCCCCAAGACTTGCATGTAAAACTAGTATAGATGTCTTCTCTTTTGTAAGTTTTATTTTTGTAACTGTGCATGTAAAGCATCACTGAATCAATGGATCTGTTGAAGAACTCAGCTGCTGGAACCATGCAAAATGTTTTGAATTGCCCTTAAAATATGGAAAATGTTTTCTGAATGCTTTATATTCTTTCTGCTGTAAATTAAAAAAGAAAATTTCCCCATACAAAGTGTGTGCCTTCTTCTGAACACATCTCTTCCATCCTACTTTGAGAACAAAGTATTGCTGTAGTCACTCTAAGGAACCACAAAAAAAAAAAAAAAAAAAAAGTCTGTGCTCTACAGGACCTTGTAAGAATATTGCATCTGATTTCTTTGGGGTTATGATGTGACAGTCCAGAGCTTTCCTGTGAGCAGGTGCAGCCCCCAGAGCTTTGTTTGCAGTTCCTCTTTAGTGGGCAATCACTTCCAGGGTATTTTGTGAGAAACCGTATAAAGCTGGAATCAAAATGCTCAATCCTGCAATGTGCAGAAAGCAGAGTCAAACGGCAGAATTCAGGAGGGCTGCTGATGCAGAAACCTGAGGGGGTCACATTTAATGATACAATTAACTGAGACACAATAACTATTGCACTAATCAAATCTGTTACTGATGAACTTATATGTTACTTCTACATGTTATTTATGAACCGGCCCTCGAGAGCAAAACTTGTACCAGGCCAGCAGGCAAAACCTGAAAGCAGCTTAAATTAATTAATCTGGTCTATCAGGGACTGTGTTAGTACCATTATGAGTAAGCTCTTCCAAAACCCAGCTCCACAACTGAATTCGAGACTTCAATAAGAGAGTTTCTTCTTGACTGCAGAGAAAGTTTAATTATGTTTCTCTTTTAGAATAAATCAGCATTTAACTCTCCAAATTGCTCCCATTTTTCCATCTCACATGGCTGTTAATTGCTGGGTTATTTACCATCGAGGCAGGTTGACCCAGTCCTGAAGGAAGGCACCTCCTCCCTTATCCCAGGGGCGTGGCGGGAGAGAACTGGAAGACCAAACATGAGGGAAAAAAATGCCTGGGGTGAGATAAAATTTAATGAGGGGGAAAAAAGAAAAGATAACTCAGAACACTTGGTGCAAAGGCCGGCAGTGCCTCCCTCCCAGCGGAGGCCGGTGTTCCCTGGCGGAGCAGCCCCGGGGCTCCTACGGGAGCGCTGCCATCAGCACCGAGCCCCGGATGTGACCGGGGCTGCTCCGGTCACCGACAGCACCGAGCCCCGGGTGTGACCGGGGCTGCTCCGGTCACCGACAGCACCGAGCCCCGGGTGTGACCGGGGCTGCTCCGGTCACCGACAGCACCGAGCCCCGGGTGTGACCGGGGCTGCTCCGGTCACCGACAGCACCGAGCCCCGGGTGTGACCGGGGCTGCTCCGGTCACCGACAGCACCGAGCCCCGGGTGTGACCGGGGCTGCTCCGGTCACCGACAGCACCGAGCCCCGGGTGTGACCGGGGCTGCTCCGGTCACCGACAGCACCGAGCCCCGGGTGTGACCGGGGCTGCTCCGGTCACCGACAGCACCGTGCGGCTCCGGGCCCGCCGGGACCCGGGCAGGAAGAGCGGGGATCCCGCCGGGCGGCCATGGAGCCGGGGCAGGGGACAAAGGACAGGGACAAGGACACCCCCGGCCCCCCTCGTGCGCTGCACGGACACGAGTGACAACAGCACGGAATGCACGTGGCTGTGGCTGTGTGTCCGAGTGGACGTGCCCATGTCTGTGTGTCCGTGTGTCCGTGCCCCTGTCACTGTGTGGCTGTGTGTCCATGTCTGTCTGTGTCTCCATGTCTGTGTCCGTGTCTGTCCGTCCCCGTGCCCGTGTGTCCTTGTGTCCGTGCCCGGCCGCTCTCTCCGTTCCCATTCCCGTTCTCGTCACCGTCCGGAGCGGGCAGGGCCGGCACAGCGCCCCCCAGCGGCCACAGCGCGGCCTGCGGGGGCACGGCCCCGCCCCAGGCCCCGCCCCGCGCCCCGGGCCCGGCCCTCGCCCATATCCCGGTCCTAATCTCGCCCTGAGCCCGCCCCGGGCCCGGTCCTCGCCCATCGTCCGGTTCCAATCCCGCCCTGAGCCCGCCCGGGGCCCGCCCCGTGACTCGTCAGCGCGGGGCGCCGCGCGCAGTTCCCGCTGGACCCGCCCGGGCGCTGCCGCCGCGGCCCCGTTCTCGTCCCTCCGCCAGGATGTGAGTGCGGGGCGAGCGGGGGGTCTGGGGAGCGGGGCGGGCCCGGGGCGGCGGGAGCAGGGCCCGGTCCGGCCCGGCCCGCGGGCGGGGGTTCCGGGAGGGACGGACACGGCGGAGGCGAGGCCCGGCCCGGCCCGGCCCGGCCGTGCTTGGGCCGCCCCGCCTGAGGCGCCGCTCGGGCCGGGAGCGGGCGCTGGCCCGGGCTGCGCAGGCCCGGCTGTCCCGCGGCCCCGGGAGCGTCTGAGGGCAGGGCCCGCCCTGCCGGGACAGCGCCTGCAGCGCACCGGGCGTTGCTGTGTTTGCAAGCTCGCAGGAAGCGCTGTCATTTCCGAGCCTGTTCACCTGGGACCGGCACCGAAGGGTGGCACCAAAGCAGTGACACTGCTGTACAGCGCTGGTCCCAGCCTTGCCCTGGCTCCCGCCTTGTGCCTGCACTCATTACGGGCAAGTTAAAAGTCAATGTCCAAATGTGTAAGTACAGGAAATAGTCGGACTTGACTGTTTGGAGTACCAGGATAAACTAAACAAGCTTCTGATGTAAAAGAACTAAGAACATGGAAAAGGGAAATGAGTGCAGATAGTTCTAGAGATACACATTAAAAACCTGGCCTGGTGAAAAAGTAATGAGGAGTATGTGCAGAAGCTCTTTCATCCATTATAAAGATGGTAAAAACAACTCTGTTACAAATTCAAAGCTGACCAAAGGTACATGTTGTATTTTCCAAATACTTTTTCCTTCTGGTGCTTTCTCTTGCTCCATATCAACCATTTCAAAAAAATAGAGAAGCATTGCTGGAAAATCACATAGTTATAATAAGTATTAAGTTTTTGTATTTAATTTTTTGTAAACTACTATTGCTTGAAACTTAGTATTTGTGTTCATATGGGAAAGAGGAACACCCCTGAGCCCAAACTGCTCACTCTTTGAGGCCTCTGGAGCGTTGTTGGAGCTGTCCCTACCTCATTACAAAGCCACTGCTGCCTCTTAGCACAGCAGGCAATTTGTTGGCAAGATCTTTGGGACACTGTATGACTTGCACCCACTGTCAGCTGCTAAAACACCATTTCTCCAGTAAGAAACTGCCCTGTATTTATTACAAGGATACAAGTTCCCACTTTTCAGGACTGTCAGGTGTGTAATGATGCCTTTCTTTACTGCAGGTCGGCCAATGTCCCTGGGAGCTCAAACATGGCTGCTGGCAGCAATCGCCGGCTTCAGCAAACCCAGCACCAAGTAGATGAGGTAAAAGTCTGGTCTGGTAGCAGTGTCAATCTCTTCCTGAAGGAAACATGTGCAATTAAAAGGGATATTTTTTTTCCAAAGCAGTTTTCCCTTCATTATATGAAGGGGAAGCAAAGAGAGGTTCCCAGTGTGCAAATATCAGCTGCAGTCTTGGTGCTTGAGGATTTGGCATAAGTAAAGACAAAAACCTTTGTTTACAGAGAACAAGCTTTTTTCTCATCAGTAGCCATGAGAGCTGGCTACCAAATGTGATTTTTGTGGAGTCCAAAAACCAGGCTGGCTGGCAAGTATTTCTTGACATGGTTTACCATCATGTTTATATTCTTCAACTCCTTCTGAAGCAAGTCAGGAAGTCTTTCCCAGGTTTGAAGGCATGCCAGCACCACTGACTGTGCAAACCCAGGGCACTGGGAATATTTCTGTGTTTGCTCTGGGGTGCCCTGACCCCCAGGGCAGCACTGACTCTGACCCTCATTCATGGAGAAAGTTTCCTGCACTTCAAGATAGACTGGAACCCACAAAAGTGGGAAATAGATTCTAGAGAGCAGTGCAGGTGTGTCACTGGGTGAGAAATTGAGGTTTTGGGGTTTTTAGTGTGTTGTGGATGGCAGCAAGATGGAGGGCACAGGGTGTCATCCTGGGTTTCTGCTTCATGCTTCTTCTTCCTCCTTCTCCATGGGTTTGGGTGGCATTTTGTAATTGGGCAGAAAAGTTTGCATTGCAGCTCTTTGGGAGCAGTTACTGGGTTAAAAGGGGAAATAATCCAGGTGTCAGCTCTTAACTGGATAGTTTAGTCTGAAAAGCCCTTGTACCAAGAGATTGTTGCCATTTTGTGCCTTCTAATGAAAAGCTGCAGAACTCCCAGCAGTGAGACTGTTTTACTGATAAGAAATAATAAACACCTGAGTGTGAACATGAACTACTGTCTCAAGGGCCTCAATCCAGACCCAGAGAAACCCACAACTGGGACCCCCACAACTGACTTTTTAAAGTAGGCATTCAGGGCTTCTAGCCACAGGTGGATCTCATAGTTTTCTTTAAGGTTATGGCTGCATATACTAACAGATAATAGCTCCTGCTTCTGAGAAAACACTGAGTACCTTGTGGAGCTGTCCGTGGCTGTGTTGCACTGTGTGGTCACTCACTGTAAGCACTGAACTGCTGCAGGTTGTTGACATCATGAGGGTGAACGTGGACAAGGTTCTGGAGCGGGATCAGAAGCTGTCCGAGCTGGATGACCGAGCTGATGCTCTGCAAGCAGGAGCCTCCCAGTTCGAGACCAGCGCAGCCAAGCTGAAGAGGAAGTACTGGTGGAAGAACTGCAAGGTAACCTTGGCTGGAGTGCCTGCACTGTGCCTGGAACACTCTCACAATTTGTGTTTCAAAAGGCAGAAGGTGTTTAGGCAATGGTTTTGAAGTCACAGCATCTAGTTTTTAAAGCATGGCATTAAAGTAACAAGCAGCTGTGTTACCGGCTGTGCTGCCCTAGGCAGGGTCTTGTCTGATAATGGCCAGAGGGGAAGCATGTCAGTAATCTTGAGAAACAAGAAGAAAAGGCTAAAAATGCATAGCTTGAATTAATGTGTGGGGAGTATTAGAAAGTGGAAGAAGCTCACTCAGACTCCTGTACTTGTAGCTGTTGCCAAAGGTTGGAATCATCTTTGGTGAGTAACAGAACAGCTTGTGCATTCACCTGGGACAAGCTTTTTGTGGAGAAACCCTTATTGCTCTGTATGCCTGTGTGCATGGCCTGCCATCTCTGAGTGCTAGTAGTGGATTGAGCTTGCTGACTCAAGAACCTTTGCTTGCCACGTTAGATCTGACAAAGAGTGCTGAAAGTCCCTTGCAGGGGCTGTTTTCCTGTTCCCTGAGGGGCACTTGGTGTAGTAAGTGTTGTATGTCTTTTTTTTTTTTCACAGATGTGGGCAATATTGATAGGTGTTGTTGTCATTATCATCATCATCATTATTGGTAAGTTTGACCAAAATAGGGATTTTTTTCTAGATTTGGAATGGATAGTGTTAATTTGTTGACTGGTACAGTTTAAGCAAAGGCAGGATACTCAGATGGAAATATATCCAACATGAATTTGAAATAGCAGTGATGGATTTAAAAGCAATTGCATGCAGTGAGTGGCAGACTGTGATAACGTGGGAGCCCCGGTACTGGAATCTCAATGATGCCTGAGGGTGACAAAGGTGAAAGTGAAAACAGCAAGGGCTTGGAAACCAGGAACAGCCCTGGGTTTATTTTACAGCTGCAGAAGTGTAACATGAGATTCCACACTCCATCCTTGTCTGAGAGCTGTTATCATCTGCCTTGGCTTCCTGCTTTTTTGTGGCAGTTAAGAGTGCACTGCTGTACCAGGGAGCCTTTGAGTAGAGGTTTGGCTGCTGGTGAAATGAGACTAATGTTGGGTTAGGGTGGAGAGCCAGGGATGGAATGGCTCAGTCTTTGAAGTCCTCGTAATTGCCAAGGGTTTAAAGGGAAGACGAAGTTTTTAAGTTTGTGCTGTAACAGTAACAAACACAGTAGTAACCACTGAAATCAGAGATACAACTTAGAAAACCAACACAGGCAAATTCTTAGATTTAAGGGATTTAAGAGGGATTTGTCTTTATTATCTTAAATTTGTAAAAGGCAGGACTGGTATGGTGAGGGGCTGAAGGACATCATCCATCCTCTTTCTTCTCATTGTAGTCTGGAGTGCGTATTCATGAATTACAAGAAGAAACTCAATTCAACTGAAGGTGCCTTTGGGAATCTACTTCAGCCTCTCCACTTCAAACCTGCTGCCTTCTCAGTCCGTTTACTGCTGTTTAAAGCAAACCTATTTTGATTATCGAGACGTTAACTAACTTTACTGGTGGCCTTAAGACACTCCTGTCATTAATTACTAACCAGCACAGCTCACGGCGCCTCCGTGGCCCGGGCCCCGCCCCCCGCCCCCGCCCCTCGCCCCGACCACGCCCAGGGGCGGGGCGGACGCCGCACGTGGCGGCGGGGCATGCGCGCGCACGGGGGCCGCGTGCGGCGCCGCGTGAGGGGCGGGGCGGCGCCTCCGCCCGCGCTGGCCCCGCCCCCCGCGCGCGGTCTCCTCCAATAAAGCGGCTCCGACCCCGCCTCCGCCTCCTCCTCTGTCCGCGGGGCGCGGCGCACGTGGCGCGGGTGTGTGGGAGCGGGGCCGCCGCGTGCGCCGCGTTACGTAACGGCGCGGGGCGGGGGCGCGGCCCCTCAGGGCGCTCCCGGCCCGGAGCGGGCACAGCCCGGGGTCGGCGGGAGAGGCGCGGCCTCGGAGGGGCGGGAAGGCGAAGCGGAGGCCCGCCGGGCCCTCTGGCGCTGGGCAGCTGCGAGCTGAGGGGGCGCGCGGCGGGGAGCAGCGCGGGAGCGCGGAGCCGGCCCCGGTGCCCACTCGGCTCGGTGGGGAGCGGCGGGGGGGGCGCCGCTCCTCCCACCGTCCCGTGAGGCGGCGCGTGCTCTGCCTGCAGCGCAGGCCGAGGGTCCGGCCGTGCCCCGGTGCCGCGGCAGCCGATGCCCCCCGTGCTGTGGCGCTCAGCGGATCCGCGATGGACGCGAGCGAGCGCCGAGGCGGCAGCGCGGAGCACGGCGCGGCCCGAGCCTGGGCTGGGGCCGGCCGGGAGGCGGCGGCGGCGCCCGGGGGGGCTGCGGGCGCTCGGTGCGCGGCGTGCGCGGGAAGCGGCCCCGGCGGGACCGAGCTGCACAGCCCCGAGTCCGGCAGCAAGAAAACCAACAGGTACCCGGGCAGAGAGCGGGGGTGGGTGCTCGGCGTGCGGAGCGGGGGCCGGGCGCTGCTCGGGCCCGGTGGCTGCGGGGCTCGGCGGTCACGGGCCGTGGGCAGGTGCGGTGAGCGGGAGCTGCTCGGGCTCCGGTGAGCTGTGCCGCCTCCTGGGAGCGGCTAAGCCGTCAGCGACCCTCGGGGAGCTTGGATGTGTACTTCAGCTAAAGTCTGTTTAGCAGTACCAAAACAGAATTACTGTTATTACTGAAATAACATTTTTCGTGAGAGTTCGGAAATTCAGTAATTAATTTTTTTAATCTAAAAAAGAGTTAAAGAGCTCTAATGTATGCAGCGTTGGACAGGCTTGTGAAGTTACCACGCAATACTTACACTTATGTAATGATTTCTATAGTAAGAGTACGGTACTAATGATACTGTCTACTGGAAATGAGTTACTAAAAAAATGGGGTTCGTATCTCATCTGTAGGATTAGAATCTGTGATTTGAGGATATTGACTGCTTGTCTTTTAGTCCGTGAAATAAGTGAATGTAAGGAGAGGGAGATTTTATCTGTTAACCGTTCTGCAGCTGTTGAAGTCAACAGTTACAAAGTATGACGAAGACTCTGAAGTCACGAGGCATGAAATCTTTGCATCAGGTGTATTTTGAGGACCTCATGGTTCCTTGAGATGCTTATAACCAGGGACAGCCTTCAAGGCTCAAAAACCTTAGAGATTAAGAATCAGCATTTATTAATTATTTTAATACCTGTGTTATTTAGAAAATCCAGAGTAAACATCACCTTCTTTTTAGTTGCTAGGCATCTTAGCAAGCTGAGTGGTTTCAATGTGACTTTGCCATCCATGACACTGGAGTTGGGAAAGAGGAAGGTAGAGGAGAAAAACTTCAATTGCAAGGAAGTGAGAAAAATGTAGCAGGAAATTTAGTGAATGAGCATTAGGACATTCCTGGATGTTACATGACTCTGCAGCCATTCCCATAAAATGTTGATTTAGAGAGTAATTTTATTTGGGTAGTAGTAAAAAAATCGACACCAGAATTCTCTGGTGAAGTTTAACCTGTGTTTCACAGCGAGCAGCTGAATTGGAGCCAGTCTCACAGAGATATGATGATGATGATCCAAGAAATGAAAAGGTGTTTGCCTGAGGAGAAAAGGAGTTCTAACAAGCCCAGCACCATCAGTGCTCTCAACTATGCCTTGCAGTGTGTCCAGCAGGTCCAAGGTACGTGTGGAGAAAACCTGGACAGCAGCAGCATGGTTTGCATAGATGTGTCTGGCAACAAGTAGGATTAAAAGAATGCATTCCAGTTATCCTGCAAACAGGTGACTTTCTGAAGCACTGTGGCTTTGTTGCCAGTTTTTTTTTGTTAAGCAACAGTGTTATCTCTTCTGTTGAGATACCCTCTACTGCTTCTCTTTTCTTCAGAGTCCCATAGCTAAGAGGTGCCTAATAGTAACTTTTTATGTATATTAAGAAAGAGATATTCCCATCCTACTTTGAAAAGTTATTGGTTAGTTTGTGTTTTCCCACAGAACTAAGTAGCTAAAATTGTACTGCTTCTTCATGCTTGTATTCTGTAACAAATTGAGGTTACTCCAGTAGTATAATCAGTATTCCTTTTCCCTTTGTCACTACACAGACCTTCTCATCCCACCTTGGACTTCACCAAAAAGATGACAAAAGTACAAGGGCTGTAAGAAATATTTTCAAAGTAGTCTCCTTACTGACTTCCTTGTGTTTGTTTTGCTTTTTCTGTTTGTTTTTTTTTTTTTTTTCCAATTAGCAAACAATGACTTTTTCCAGGCTCTGAATGACCGAAGAGTGTTTCAGGCAGATGTGGTGACATACAGCATAGAAGAGCTGGTGGCAGTTGCATCTGAACACACTCCAAAAAACACTGTAAGAATTCAGGCACACTCAAGGAGTTCATTCAATTTCACTAAATATAGTCTCCTAACATTGTTCTGTAGAAATAGAATGTGTAAAATTGAAAGGCCTTTAAATTTTACCCAGACAGACCTTCAAGTTTTTTGAGATAAATCAAGATTACATCTTATCTCTGCTGTGTCAGTACCCCACAATAGTGAGTGCAGAAATACTAATTTTTTTTTTTTTTTTGGCCAGAAGCAACAAATAGCTGTTTGAGAATTCATTTACAGCAGAGTAATCTCTTGAGACAGAGAAGGATTTAAAACCAATCAGATTCATATTTCTGAGGGACTTTTTGTTTCTATTTGTACTCTGCATTTAATTTTTTTCATGTTTTGCAATAGATGTTATGCTTTCTGACTCTGCTTTACAAAGAAGTGTTTCTTGAAATTCAGTACTGTTGGATGATGTATCAAAAATACAAAAAAATATTGGAAAGCTCTCAGAATGTTTTTGTGTGTGGAATTGTGGTGAATCCTCTGAAATTTGTGGAGGAGTGTGTGGAGTGATAAGCAGTCATTCAGAGCAAAGACAAGCATTAATCTGTTTTGAGAAGACTAATGCAGTCTTATTAGCATTTGTAAATCTTGAGTACACTGCTGCAGCACTGGAGAGTTTAGTGGATCACACACTACCCAACAAAGCTTTGAACCTTTGGGGTTGTGGTGTGTGGTGCTTTGGGCTTGGTAGGTTTGTTTGTTTTGGGGTTGTTTTCCTTTTTATCCTTACATTTTCACTGCTGTGTTTCAGGCAATGATTGCCTTTAATGTTTGTTTTCCAGGACACGTTTGTGGCTGTATTTTCTTTGCTCTCTGGACGCATAGTGCACATTTCTGAGCAGGCAGCCTCTATTCTGAACTGTAAGAAGAAAGTGTTGGACTCCTCCCGGTTTGTGGAGCTGCTTGTCCCTCAGGATGTGAGTGTGTTCTACACTCACACTGACCAGTCTCACCTGCCCCTTTGGAACATGGAAAGTCAAACAGGTGGGACATGGCAATGCTTGTAAATGCTCTGTGTGTCTTCCTGTCTTTGCAGAATGAGGACAGAGTAGTTATTTTAGATGCTTGTGCTACCAATGTGCATCAGCCTCATTTGTTCCTTTTCACTTTGAGAAATGGAGTGGCTGTGGGACCAGTCCTAGCTAATCTCCTGAAGACTTAACTCTTACTTGGGGTAAATAAAAGGCACATACTGCATTGTTTCATGTATCATCTTACTCATTCCAAATACTGCTGATTTTTGAAAAGAAAATAAGTCTGATTGTGAGCTTAAAGTTGTTTAATCTACACTTCATGGTTGCTTAGGTGCTTTGTGTTTATGGTCCACTCACAGCTCATCAAACCCAAGTTTTAAGCTGATTTGCTATTTAGTGCTGGATGTGTCTAAACTGAGACTTTTGAGTCCTGTGTTATTTGTGAGCAGTTCAAATGTAGCTTGCAAGCCAAGGCTGTGTCTTTGGCCCACCTTGACATGGGACTGTTCTGGCATCAGTTCTGAGAAGTCCAAAGTCCTTGGTATCAAAGGATCTGAGACATCTGGAGGTTTTGAATGCCAGGGATTCCACAACTTGGATGCCAGTGATGTGCCTACCCAGCAGAGCAGTGGCACCCCAGTGGAGTTGTGGCTTTCTTGCCTGTATATAGTTTTTGGTACTTGGCTCATAAAGCCAGGAGAGAGCACCTTTCCTTTTCCCAGTGATGCACTGCAGAAAGTTTTTTTTTTTGGTGTGTTGATTGGTTGGTTGATTTGTTTCCTTTTTTTTTAATATATATACATTTCCTGTGAATTTAATTCCAGGTCAGTGATTTCTCTAGGAATGAGTGGACTCTCGCTCTTAGAGAAAGGAGAGATAACATTTGAGGTGGGAGCAGACTGTTGAACAGGCAATTCAGTAGCTAATAAAGAGTAGGTTGTGAAACTTCAGTCTTGCTCAGAAAGTCTGGAGAATGCAGAGTTTAACATAGTTCTGAGAGGTGTGACCTTTTTAAGGGTATTAACTGATACTTCCAATGTGTTCATCTTATTAGCTTCTCCATATGAATATGCCCAGGTGAAATCCTTTTTCTGCAGGATCAGGTGAGTGCATTGTTACAGTTTTATTTTTGTGAAGGCTGACAAGGGGTACAGTACTAGCAGAAACTGTTCTATTGTTATAGCTGACCAGTGTGAGCTCATGAAACTCCATTA